GTTTGTCTTCGTTTGTGCCCATTCATCATTTCAAATGGAACTATCTTGTGACAGCCACATTTGGTAGTCTCTGCCTGGGAGATAATTGCTCATCACTGAGGGGAACTCACACAGCTGAGATAACCCTCAGGCACTTTCTCTGCAGGGATGGGAGCACCAGAGGCAAAGCAATTAACAGAGCAATTAAGCCACTAGCCAATCATATCTCTTTTATTTTCCCTCATCTCAGCTTTGTGCCACTCTCCAGTGTCTCTAAAAACAAGCAAGGAAAGGCCCTGCTCTCTAGAGGGGTAATTCCCTAATTCCCTCAGGTGGGCTGGGGCTGAGATTCAGCTCTAAACCCCATTACTGACCCTTACTTGTCATCATTCTGGGCTTGTGGGACATGGTTTGGCTACTGCAGACAGAACCAGTGGCCATTTCCTTTCCTGAGAGCCAAGAGACAGCAGTGGTCACTTAGAGCTCTTCCCTATATCCTGCTCCTTCCCTCCCCCATATCTGTTCTCCAGGTAATAATCAGTCTTTTCAGAAGTATTAGATCAGGTATCCAGACCTGAGAAAGTTTTGCAGAAAAGATATTGGGACAGTCCCACATGCACAAGGGTTGATAAACTGCATCCATAGGTGATGGCATTCACCTTTGGGGGAATGTAAAAACAAAAAGAACCGAGAGGAGAGAGACATGAGAAGGAGAAAATTCTGTCACAGTCAGGCCCTCCCAGGTCCCCCAGAGTGTTCCTCCCCCATCTCCCTGTCCCAACCTTTCCTTGGACTGCAGCCCTTTGGGGACAGCTGCTCCTGCTCGGGTTCTCCACACCACAAATCCTGCAGGAAACTGGGCTGTGGAGCTCCAAGTGCTGCAAAGGGTCAGAGTTCCTTGGCTCCGTGGAGTTTGGCAGTGCCAGGGTGTCCTAGGTTACAATATTAAGATATATTCTATTCCCATCATGAAGAGCTGCTGAAACCAGAAGGGGCATTGTTTCTTCCTCATCTCCTGTTAATAGGCCCATTAATGCCTTGACTCTGAGATAACTCCCTCCAGGAGCCATTTCTGTTTCATGGACCCGCCTTATGACTCACAGAATGGTAACAGCCAATTGTGAGATGCTGTGCCCGGGGAGGGGGGAGCTAAGCTTCCTGACCTGGATATAATCTGGGGTTTGGGGCAGCACAAGCAGCCTTTCCCCTGGCTCCCCAGAGGAATGGCTTCTTTTCCACTGGATCTGCAGAGGAAGACTACACCCTTCTACGGGATCCCTGCTCCAACAGAACCACATCTGCCACTCCAGGAGGACTGCTGACACCAATCCAACTGGACTGCTACCAACATGCTGACGAACAGGGTGTCAGGTTGTATTCTGACTTTGTTAGTGGTTTTTCTTTTGTATTATTGCACATATTTTGGTTTTCTTTTCCCTTTTCCTAATAAATTGTATTTCTGACTTGGAGTCTCTCACTGGTTTTGCTTTCAAACCAAACCAGAACACATGGGCATTACAGCAGTGCCCCCCATCCCATCCAGCAGCTTGGTTCTAAATGATTAGAGCCTGAAGGACATGGGGCTAGGCTGCAAACCCTAGCATTTGCTCCTCCAGAGAGCCACTTGAACTGCTGGAACTTAGAAGCAAGTCACCAAACAGCAACCAAAGAAAGATCACCTTCTCTTTTCAATGCCTTGAAATGAAGCTCTCCATCAGTGACTCCTCATCATCAAGAAATTTTCAGAGTAACACTCACCCCATCCCTGGCACCTGAAACCTGCACATCCCTTCATTTAGAGGATGCACAATGCTTTTGTTAATTAGAGCCTTAGTTTAATATGAGCTGTCAAAGTTCACTTAACTTCAATTAATTGTTTCTCCTGAGCTTAATTTCTTTAGTTAAGTATTGATTAATCATTGCTTAATTATGCTGAAGTCTCACTGGGTGATATTTCAGTTGCATACCGCAGCAATGCGCTGCTTTCTAAAAATACTCAGAGAATCATCAGAAATTTTATGTATTGCTATTATTGGGATGTCTTTTAATATTTATCTTTTCATCCCTTATGTTCCAAAATGTATATTTAACATTTTGTGTTTAATTCCACTGGTTTACAACTCATTTTTCTCTATGTTGGCAGATCATACAACAGAGTCTTGCTCTGCCTGGTGAGGGCAGAAAAGTTTTGCCTCTGGCATCCAGAGTCTTATGCCAGGAAGAGTAGGTTAGGGAGCACAAGTAAGTGATCTTTACTGTGGCACAATATAAACAACAAAAACATTGATGGCATGGCTTTTTTCTTTGAACATTTACTTTAAGTGACATGCAATGACTTTGGCTCAAATATTATCTGTATTTCCTCAAATCCTCAATGCTGGAGCTCTTATGAATGTGGCCTTCAGACCAAGGTGCTTCCAATCTGAAATCTCAGTCTGTTCTGAAGTATCAGGAAGAGAAAACTACCTCCACCTCTCTGTAGTATTTCAACAGCTCTGTAATGTCAGGTTGGATAGCAAGTATCGTAATTTTCACAGATAAGTATAATAACTATTACATTTTTTCCAAGGTCTCTCTTGAATTTCAATATTTACCCAAATTAGAAGTTAAGTTTGATCTGTAGTGAGAAATTAAACAATTACCTTTTCCCCCACAATAATTTCCCTGGAGTCCATTTAGGCATCTCATTTTACCTACACACAGAAGCATTTTTTATTATTTTTCTAGACGAGAAAGAGTCATTCCCTAGGGAACACTTCTTGGCTTGACTCGGTTTTATCACAGTCAAGTTTTAACTTTCTCCCTGTGGTACACAATCACTTTTTCAGAGATCTCTCAACCTACTACTACTAAAATTTAATTTTGAACGTGTTCTGTTCTGTAGGAGTACTCAGCATTATTTACTACTGTCATTCCAGAATCTCAAACAAGCACTGGTAGGAATATGCTGTAAAGAGAGTCATCAAAATGACATCCTTTTCTACTACCTTTCACCTGCTCAGTGGTGTAAACATCTGGCACCTTGGGAATGCACATCTTTGCTGTGTGAAAGGCAAAATAAACTGGTGAATAGACTGATTGTTACACAGATCATGGAAAACACTTCTGTTCCCTTATGCTGAATGACACAATAGACTGAATTTTCCAGAGAGGGATGGATGAATTAGTCCAAGATAAAAAAGTACTGACTGAACCCTTGCTCAGAATTTCAACAAGTGCTAATCAAAACATTCCCAGAGTACAATTAATCTGTCCTTTGTTATTCACTTCCTATCACAACTCTGTGTTTCTCGATGCTGATCAAAAGCAGAAACCCCATGCTTGGTTGTAACAAATTTGTACCAATACATAATCAAGAAACAGAAAAGCAAGTCTGATGTCATGACTCTCTTTGCATCTTTATCTAGTCCTGGTCATTACTGATGCAGGTGCTGAACAAACACACTCCTGCCCTGACAGGCTCACTGGAAAAGAAGAAACAAAGAATTGGAAAAAGGAAGTTTTACCTTCCCTGGTTTCTGTAAAGGAAACTGCAGCACTGAGACACAACAAGCTGAATTTCCCAGTGTGATTTGGATCCATATTCATTAAAATGATAAGTCATTGATCTTAATTACAATCCCCAGGATCCTGCCACATGCAAGTCAAGCTGTTTGTGGAAGTTTAGCAAAATCAACTTGATGCACATCCTCAACTTTCTTATGCTAATTCCTAAATACAAAAACATTCCCATTTTGTCAGCTTTCTAGATGTCAGCCACAATTTTACAGCTCAGCATTATTTATTTATATTGTAACCTACCTAAACAGACAGAGTCATCAACCACAGCTGTATCAGGGGCTTTGCTACCAGGAAACAAAACTTCTAAATCCAGGTGTGAAGATGAGACCACAGAGATGAACAGGCAGTTAATTGGGAATTATGAGTTTATCAGGGCAATCAGCCTGGTCAGAGGGGACCAGAGCTCCTCCAATCCCCTTCTGCAGACTGAACCCTGCCTGACTAATGTTAGGAGAGATGGCTAAATCTATGTGCCTATGAATGTTTCAAACATTCCAGTACTCTCTAACAAAGGAATACACACAAGGCTTGCATGAGCTTTTCCATCTGTCACATCCAAATTGCAAAATCAAGCACAGCACCATGCAACTCTATACCCAGTGATCTGCTGGAGTCTGCAAGTTTTCTCTCCCACTACATTAATAATGTGACATGTCCCCATTAAAATAATAAATAAATAAATTTAAATGAAGGGAGCCATGGCTTATTTCTTTCAGCATACCTTCAAGTGCACAGAATCCCTGGCTCCCCTGGCTGGGCTGTCACAAGCTCCTTTCTGTTAAGGTCTCTTAACCACTTTTTTCATCCTTCCAGCTCATCTGAGAAAAGAACAGGAGGACAAAACATTCTTACAACTGCCTGTGAACATATACAACTGAGAGAGTCTTGTGGGAAGTCTGCTGTGGATTTCTGGTCTCTGGGATATGTGGTCTGTGAGGCTGACTGCATTCAGGATACAACACCTTGTAGGGGAAGGGCTGTGATTTGCTGTAAAAAATCGTTCAGGCATAAGAGGAGAGAAAGAAGTTGTAAAAGTTAAAGTAAGATCCTCAAGAGGCATCAGAACTGCCAGTATCTATGAGTTCAGTGTGTAACCTCTTTTCTCAGCACATTTGCTTTGGGCAAAACTATAATAATAATAATTCATAAGCTGAAGTAGGTAAGTGTTCCTGTTAACATATCTATCCTAAAATACTTCTGTTATTAATAAACAACCAAGTAAAAGCTGCAGGTCACCATAACTTTATCAGACTTCTCACCCTAATAATCTGTTTCCATTTTGAATTACACTGTGCAATTGGCTGCACAATGCTTCCTTTCTTTTCAAAAGTTTCAGTTTGCTTCCTTGCTTTTCAAAAAAACACAATTGCTTCATTTGGATTTTGCAGATTTTTGATAACTAAATTGGCTTTTGTACTGTAATAATTTCCCCTTCTATTTCTCCATCTTTCACTTTACAGGGGCTGTAGTTTGGTTTTGAATCCTGCTCTCTTGGCACCAGCAGCATTTTCACATGGGCTGAAGCTCTCATGGCCTCTCATCCAACTTGGTCGAGCAGACTAAAAGGAAAAGAAATGCAGCTGAATTCTGAGGGATCAGGTTCTATCCACCTCTAACATATTATGCAACTTTTCATCCTTTGAGTAGTCTTATTGATTTCAGTGGAAGAATTTGTTATTGCAGAATGTGAATGTCAGAATTTCACCCTAAATATTTCACTTTACAAAGGAAGCCATGATGCAGAAGAAAACACACTCTGAGCTGCAGCAGGACACAAAATTTGCAGTTACAATAAAAGTTGGGAAGCCTTTTTCTCCTTTGTGACGGTGGCCTTCTATTGAAAGTGCTTAATAAACAGAACCAGTTCTGTGCGAATTAAATGAAAGATGTTCATAAACAAACTGAGAGTCTTCTAATCCCTACAGCACCACAAATAATTCAAATAAATTTTGAAGTGCCACGATAATGGCACAAGATGGTTATCTCTGTATTATTGGTTTTGTGTACATCAAAGAAGGCTCTGTAGGAAAAAATAATGTTGCATAAAAAAACACAACCACGTTTCTTTTAAAAAAGCAGACAATTAAAATTATCCAGAAGTTAAGGAAAATATGAACTAAAAATATTTTGCCTTTGAAAGTCTGTATTACCCTTAAAACAATTTTATGGTGGATATTGTGGGCTCTGGATTAACATAAATGTCTGATTGAAAATCTTTGTAAGGATGTTAAGATTAAGTACACAGCTCTTAAGTTCTACAAACACAAAACTGATTTCAAAGGAACCAAGTGATGAGTATGGATGTCCATGAAACAAATATAATGTATTCATAAAGGCCTTTTTCACCAGTCAAGACATAAAGTGACAACAACTGGACATGTCATCTGCTTTTAAAATTGCTTAAATTAAAGATTATGGGCAACACTGAAAAAGAAAAGAAAGAAATATGAGCCAGCTGTACCTGTGGTGTGATAACATTGCCTTCAGTATGGACAAGGCACTGGTTGAAGAACTTCTGTGTTGTAATTTTGGATGTACATGAAGTAAAGAGAATGTGGTGCTGAATCAATGACCAAAAGCTGTACAGGGCAAATTCCACCTAGTACAATGTCAGCAAAGCCTGGGGACTTGTGAGGAGGGAAGGGAAAGAGAACCCCTTAATCTACATGACATTATAAAACAAATCACAAAGCTTGGCATGCCCTAAACCAGTAGAAGCACGACACACCAGGCAGGAGAGCTGCCCCAGATGCTCATTTCTGTCCCAGAATATTCAACACCTTTCACAGATGTAGAAATTCAAGTTCCTGGTGAGTCAGGGCCTCTTGATGCTTTGCACAGTCCCAGGAGCACTCCATGTAGAGGTGCTGTGGGACTGCCTTTCATTTATCCAACAACCAAACCACTGCACAATGGAGTGGGCCAAAGCCTGAGTGTTTTGTGCCTGCTTTGTTGTCAGGCACAGAGCTGTGTGTTTGCCTTTGTCCCTTTTGCACGTGGGGTCACACCCCCATGTCCACAGTGCAGCAGAAACCTCAGCAACAATGTGTGACAGCCTTTACTCCACCAGAGAGACACTGAGCTATGGCATCCACTTATTTCCTGTCATACCTCTAAATCAAGGCTAAACGAGGTGAAAAGCAAAGAGATTTTCAGCCCTTGTAAACTCACAGGGCAAGCTGAATGGATAAACTAAGATGTTTCACCATCATATATTACCCTGGTGTGTTAGAGTTGGCTATGTAATAGGTTCATGGCCATCTCAAAATGAGTGGAAAGGTGAATGCTTCCATTGTGATTACTTGGCTAAAAAAATACATGTCAGTAATCCCTCTTCTGCCCTTCACCATTTAATTGTGGTGGTTTAAGGTTAACAATGGGAAAATGCTATATACTTTTCAGGGAAAACTGATTGAGCTTTTTTTACAGATAAATTACTTAAAAACAGATGGAAAATAGTATTCTATTGAAAATGACTCCTTAAGGTCCTGTTGGTTCAGGTTAAAGGATGTATGGGCACACTTGCACAATGAATTGCAGCTCTGCAAGGCTGTGGCTGGAGGAGAATCTCAGCTTCTCTGCATGAAGCTAAAGGGAAAAACTGTGTGGGAAATTTCAGTTCAGTGCTTGGCTGGGATGAAAAGTTTCAAGAAAATAACAAGAGTGTATCTGCTAATGTGCCTAAAGGCATCATCAAGCTGAGACAGCAGCTCAGATTAGGGTCATCTGGCATGCTCACTTCTGTAGGATCCTAAATCTATAAGCATCTGTCCTCAGGTGCCTTTAAGGAGCTGGTCCCTATCTTCCCTAGCAAATGGCTGTGAAAGGAAAGAGGAGGAGGAGGAAGGATGCAGGAACTGATTCCCTTGACAATGAGAATTACTGAGCTGCCGCTTCTGCCTTCTCTGGGTTCAGGATGTTTCTCCCATCTTTTTAATCAGTGAGGACCATTTCAGTGGGAAAGCATAATCATAGGGCAAAAATAATCTCATAGTCACAAAGTTATTCTTTAAATGTGGGCTGAACTGCTTATGAGGTTAAGGTGAAGTTGTATTTTTATGTCCAGTGTGGCATTCACATTCTCTGAACGTGATTCCTTTGCCCAAGGTTTTTCTCCTGGGAAGCTGAAAGGCAGCAAGAGGCCTCAGAGAAAAGAAAACCAATTTTTATGTAATTTGCTTCTCCTGTGCTGTGCTCATGTGGAATGTGTTTGGAGATTGTTTACCCAAGGTGATTGCCTGATTGAATTCTGGTGTAAATTGTTTACACTCATTGGCCAATTGAGGCCAAGGTGTGTTGGGACTCTGGAAAGAGTCACAAGTTTTTATTTTTTTTTTTTTTTTTAGCATTCAGTAAGTATCTTTTCTGTATTCTTTAGTATAGTATATTATTCTTTAATATAATATAGTATAATAAAGTAATAAATTAGCTTTCTGACAACATGGAGTCAGATTCATTGTTCTTCCCTGCCACAGGGCTCGCTGTGAATTTATAGTATTAAATATTATGAATTTACAATTTACAACAGTGCAGCACTGCTGTTTGGCTCCTGGAGCACCCTTTTCACTGATCTGGCTGTGGTCCACTTGTTCTGAGTGTGACTAAGGAGTTGAATGAACTTTTCTAGTAGACCCAAATAATGTTTTTCACTCCTAATGCATCTTGAAGAACTACCAGATTTATTATAGAAGTTGCTCTTTCATTCCTTGTCTCTACAGAAAAAAAAAAAATTCAAAGCACTTTGAAAGACAATCTGTCCCTATGTTCTATCTGCCTGTTCACAGGATCAGGAGGATCAGAAAAACCTCCTGGCTTTTCCATTCTCCACTAATACCACATTACAATGTGCTGGCCATTTTTCCCTGTCATGTTTTGAGCAGTTTCAAATGAGGTAGATTAAAACCTTTTCATTTATTTATAACAGTTGCAGTAAATTTTAGGGTAAAGCAGGAGGCTATTGGACAGCAGTATTTTGTTTCATTCCCTCCTCAAGTTAGGGCTATGGAACATGGGGAGCTGATATTAGGTTCTGGCAATTTAAGTCTGTTTAGCAAGGTTCTTAATAATCTCTGCATGTATATCACAGAGAACCTTTCACATATTGCTTTAAATAATTCAAAACTGCTCCAATATTGTACTAAATAATTCAAGAATCGGACAGGCTCTGTGATTAATGATGTGTACCTGGAATTTCTGCAAACACAGCAAGGAGTCAAAGTGTGCTCTAGATACAAGTGTCCTGGCATAAGATTCCATTTACTCCTTGCCAAGGCAATAGTATGTATTAGAAAATTGGAAAAGAGCCTGCTACTCACTGGAAAACTGACTGAGGCCAATGGTTAATGTGGCAGCTGCTGAAAGATTTTGTTCTTCCAGACAGACAATACTAATTTGGCTGAGAACCTCTATTGTCTTCTGACTTTCATTCTTAATCTTCATGAACAGCATTGGTGCCTGATGTGATAATTAAATGAAGTATAAATATTTCTGCAGGAGCTGGACGTTTGTCCTTGTATTTTACCAGTCTTCATTTGAGAGCATGGAAAGGGTTTGCTTTATAAAGCAAAGCACTTAAGCTTATTTTGCAGGTTAACTTAATCCTAAAGGGCTGGCTGGGAAGTTGCTGTTCTTCTCAGCTAGGCTTGGGTCTGTGATCATGAAAAGTACCTGGAAGTCTGCTGCTCTTCTCTATCACTGTCATATTTTCTTAAAAATCTCTTTCCCTAGGATTTTTCTCCTGGGAAGCTGAAAAGCCTCAGAGAAAAAGGAAATCAATATTATCTCATTTGCTTCTCCTGTGTTTTGCTGCTTTGGAATGTGGTTGGAGATTGTTTATCCAACATGTGAATAGTTTTTATTTAATGACCAATCATGGCCAAACTGTGCCAAACTCTGAGGAGAGAGTCACGAGTTTTTCATTAGTATCTTTTACCCTTCTGTCTGTATCCTTTCTCTATTCTTTAATATAGTTTAGTATAGTATAGTATAGTATAGTATAATATAATATAATATAATATAATATAATATAATATAATATAATATAATTTATTATAATATAATTTATTATAATATAATATAATAATAAATGAGCCTTCTAAGAACATGGAGTCAGATTCATCATTTCCTCCCTACTATGGGGGACCCCAGAAACACCACACTTCTCCATTTGCTTTTATGGGCAGATGCATGTGGAGCAGCATTATTAAGGCAAAAAACCCCCCAAACCCTAAATGCTAGAATTGCTGAGTTTTCACCGTGTTGGCACAGCAACCACTTTCCCTTCTTAGTACAGATGAAACAATTGTGGTTTAGACAGTACCAGCAAGAGTTTTTCCTAGGAAATGAATAGATTGCTGTAACCTCAATGTATTTTTTTGTTAAGGGATTTCTTTAAGACACAAAGAAAATCAATGCTACATTGAAGTGGAAATAAAGCAACCAAATCCTTCTAAATAGCCTTTTTTAAAAAAAATAAATTATATGCTAGTGAGCAAAACGGAATACCCAGGAAGGAGATTACAATTATCAGCATTATTGGAAATACTCTGCAGATATCTTTATGGGACTCTGATATTGGACTCCCAGCCCAGTCACCTCAGTTAGCAACCACTCACAAACATCAAAAGAACCAGCTGATTTTATTGGGTTTTGGATATTTGCAATGAAAGACTCCACAGGGGATACACTGATATGTGTCCAGCTTTAATATTTAAACACATTCAAGATTTCTAGAGGAAGAGACAGAGAAATAAAGAGAGCTGCTGGTGTGGCCAATGCATTTGGCATGCCATGGCCAGTGTATTCTCCTCTGTGTGCCTCTCTGCTCCAGCAGCAGCTGGTGGCCTAAGGGCCATTTGGATAAGGTGAGGCACCATCCTGGATGAAATAAATTTTTATAAAAGCCGCATAGGGAATATTGACATTAGAAGCACAAGCTGGGGAGAAGATTGGTGGGTTGGTTCTTAGGTTTTTCTAGTTGTGGCTTTTTGTTGTTGTTTTGGGGTGTTTTTGTTGTTTTGATTTTGGTTTTGTTCTTTTTTTTTTTTTTTTTTTTAAGAATGTGCATCTCAGAGGGAATCACAGGTATTTATGGGCAGGGACAAAACCCAAGATGTATCAAATGACTGATATCTAGAACAAAGCTATGTACACACATTTGCATTTAAATAATAGAAGCTATTGGAAATTTCCCACACAAATCTTTATTTCAGTAGTTTAGAGATCCAGGTTGCAATAAACTTTAGCATTTTTACACAGGCTGTCTTCAAAATGCTGCCCATTGTTATCTAATAAATTGTAACCTCAGAAGGATGACCAATTAAGGTGTCTCTGTAAAAGTCTCAGGGATGAAACATCTTCTTTAAATAAAAGGGAAACATGCTAATTTTCCATCCCTGCAGATTAATTGAAGGAGCCACAGTATTCTTTTTGTGTTTTAGGGAAAAGCAGGTTGGAAGGGAAGAGAGAGGACATTGCAGGTCGGCCACTTTTGGATTTTGATGGAGTCTGCCTCCTGTAAAGAATGAATAATTCAACCACCCACGCCCCATAACCATTGAAATTACAGCTTCCCTGTTATTATAAAGTAATGTCTCAAAGGAATAAATAAAGTTGACAAAAATAGTCTTCATAAGGGTTGACACTGATTATATCAGACTGAACTCCCTCACTCATGGGGCTCGTCCACCTTTAAATGTCACCATGAGTTGACACCTGTCTATCCTGCTGTCATTCTGAACAGAGAATAAGTCTCTGTTCCCAGTGGCTTCTTTTCCTAACAAGACCGATTCTAAGTCATAAAGCACAGGATGACAAGTCCTAAACCAGCATAAACTGAATGGTTTCTTGTTACTCCTACTCATAGTAGGAGGGGGGAAACCACTGAGAAGAGGAGTGAAGGGGAACTTCATGGCAGATAAATTTAAAATTAAAAACATGCTGGATGTTGGTTCTGTAAAATTAACTTCTGCAGAAGACCATGTAGGAGAATGAAATGACTGATATTAGACAGAAATTCTTTTCTTTGAGGGTGGTGAGGCACTGGCACAAGTTGTCCAGAGAAGTTGTGGATTCCCTTATCACTATAGGACATGAAAGAACACAAGTGCACACCACTGCTCTCAAGGTGAAGAAAAAGGGGAAGTTTATTTTCTAACACCAACATTTATAGTTTTCCAATGTGACAGTGGATTGGAGGGTGACAGTGCCATCTCTCTAACCACACTGGACAAACCAACGGTCCATCAAATTTCTCCTCCTCTATAAAAGAATGCAAAACAATGAGTTATTTACAGAAAGTGTGTGAGAAAGTTTGTTACAAGAATGTCAACATCAGAAGGCTTAGAAAATCTTAAAAAATTCAGAGTGACACTCCCTGTCCCTGGAAGTTGAAGGCCAGGCTGGATGGGGCTTTGAGTAACCTGGCCAGATGAAAGGTGTCCCTGCCCATGGCAGGGGCATTGGAACCAGCTGATCTTTAAGGTACTTCTAACCCAAGTCATTCTATGATTCTGTGACAGCAAACATTGTCCCTGCAGTGCTTTGGGTTAATCAGCAGTGGTAATTTAGCCAACTGCTTATCAAGGACTGCTGACCTTGTCGCTCTGTACTTCGGAAAACTGGTCTGTTGGCACATATTTTATTTTTTAAAATTCATTTTTACAGTTGATTGTTCATCTTGCAAGATAACAGGCTCAGAGAACCACAGGTACTTCCATATCCAGTGAAATCAAAGGCTTAACTAGCCCTGGAGGAAACAGTCTGTTGAGAAAACAAATCATGGCGAGTCTCTGTGACATGGCTCATCTGAAACAGAAATGAGAATGATATTCAGCTTTTCTGAACAAGCCCCAAAACCTTTTTCCTTAGTCAGAAAATAATTTATTTCCTGATGACTTCCAGTTGTTTTATTAAATTTCTAGCACTGAGGACAAAAACATTCCAAAATGTGATTGTTCACCGAAACAGATTTTTTCCCCTATTTTTGCTTCAGTTCACATTTCATTGCAGTACAATAAATTGACATAGTGCCCTCATGCCTCTTTCTCTTTGAGGGTGCCTCAGATATTAACAGTTCATTTGCCACAGAGCAGCTTAACTGGCCTCCCCTGCCCAGCAGCACAGAGGGGATGGTTATGGACAC